TACAAGTTTCATATTTATTTATGCTATTTTATTTTCATATAACATGAGTTTTTATTTTCTCTCATTAATGCAATATTTACACAGAAAGAAAATGTTTACGTTATATTAAGAAAAATTTTACGAAATATAAATATATACATATATATGAGTGTTTTGTTCTATATTTGTTTTTGTCCTTTTTTAAAGTTTTAAGGTTACTGTTGAACTTCACGAATAATAAATATTTTACTTCTTTTAACATGATAGATGCAATTGTGTGAGAAATTAAAAAAAAGACAAATCGACGTATACAATATGCATGTGTATGTTTATTGCGCGCAGTTGTATATATTGTAACAGTTTTTCATCGCAGAAAAAGAGAGAGAGAGAAGCGCGTTTATATTGATGACTCGACTCATCCTGTACATTGGTGTGTCTCCGATATTTCGCGCTTTCATTCTGTGGTCCTGTTTGTTTTTTCCACGTTGCGAAACGCCAAGGTTTTCGTGGCAATCGTGACCGCGTAACTCTCCGAACTTTTCTTACGCTCGGGATTTTTAACATCAACGTCACACAGGCTTTTGCGGTCGCGCTTTTTTTATACCGCAAAAAATGTATAACTATGTCGGAATATTTCACATGACCGGTTAATATTTGCGCTCTATCTGGAACTTATCGTTCCCGATTTTCCGGACATTTCATCGGCGTCGAGGATTATTAAAGAATATATTTGTAGATTTTTTTTTTTATATTTTTTGTCTCGTCGCAAAAGAGCCGTTCGACGAATAGGCGAAATCGATACTTATCCGAGGAAGAATTATGTCGCGAAAAAAGGCGCTTTTATTTTTTTTTAGCGATGCACGTGATATCAGCTTTCGCGAACACGATTTTGGCGGAATTTTTCTGGGTATTATTTATATCGTTGTCTGACGTGACGTGCGCGAGCATTATCCGACAGCCCGTTTTATCCTTCACGTATTGGCATTTAAATGCGGTAGTCTGCATGTAACGTCGCGCAAAACGGCAATAAACTTCGCCTTGATTGAACGTCAATACCGAACGATAGAGAGAGAAAGAAAGAGCGGCAGCAAAAGCGGCACTCTTTCGACAGTTTCTTTTGATTATATCAACATTTCGATCACCGACAATAACAGCCATCGACCGTTCGCGTTTTTCCCCGTTGCATTTTTCACAAGGTTTTCGTGCACCGTGTCGCGGCCATATAATTGGCCGGTTAACCGACACATCGTTTACATAAAAAAATAAAAAAAGAAAAAATATTCATCAGTTTTCATCGAGAGTGGTCGGACGCATACACGCATATATATATTCGCGATATAATTTAAGTCGCCAAATTAATCGCGACGAAGCGTAATCGAAAACCAACGAATTCGTACTTACATTGATACAATGTTCGGTTTCTTTCGTTAATTCTGACATTCAATAATAATGAGGATATCGAGTTCTCACGCTCAAATTATCGGCATCGATATATCGTAATTTTCTCCATGGAACGATATCGTAATTTTCTCCACCGAACGTGCTATGTATAAGGAAAATAGCGCTAGAAATACACGAATAATCGGTGTTTAATTAATATGGTTTTAATTCGGCTGCGCCGTTTATATTTAATACACGTGATTTCAATTAAGAGCCATCGTAGATCTACTAATAAGATTTATTTACGATGATTCGTTCGTCTATTAAGCTTTGTTTATCTAACGAAACGTAGATTGTGTCGAGGTAAATAACGGACGAAACACGGGAAGAGGATGGATAGGAAAGAGGAGCAGTCGTGTTTTTAGATCCTTCGGCGTCGGTCTGTCTGGCGAGCGAAACGCGAAGCTGTTTTTCCCTCTTATTTTCTCGAATATCGGTCGGTACCGGGGCAAAGCAAATTTGTGGCGTTATCGAAACTTTTTTCCGTCCCCTTGACAGGGCGTTTGAGGGTCGGCGATCGAGGTCGCGCGAACGTTCGCGTTGCTTCTGCGTGGACTTGCAAACGAGATTAACAGGTCGAGAGAGAGAGAGAGAGAGACAACCGTCGCGGATTTGCGTCGGTGCCAAGCCGCTTCGAAAGTCCGCCCGAATTAGGGAATCTCTGTTCAAACCAAAGGGGATGGGGAGTAAAGTGTATTTTGCAACGACATATCAACTTTAGAATCGGCCTTTCCTCTTTCCAGTTTTCAGGTAACGCGCCGTTCTGTGCAATTTTTTTAAAGTTGGAAAACAAAATATATTTCGTAAAAAATGACAGAGAAATATTGTTTGCGTTAATAATGTAATAATTCATAATATTGTAATAATAAATTTAATTAAAGTAATATTTTAGCGAAATTCGTGATGGGAATAAAATATAATATTGTTAGAAGTGTACTTATATATTTATATTTATTAAAATAAAACGCATATATTTTTTTTCTATATGTATACAGAACGAATTTCGTATCATACAATTTTTAAACATCGTATTACCTGCGTCGGTTTCTACTTTAATTTTTGAAAAATGAATTTATTAGATCACGTGGGTGCGCGGGCGTTGCTCCATTTCCGCAAAAATGAGATGTATTCTGCAACGCGAGCAAAGTTAGTTACCCGCGTTCCGAGTTGTAGTACATTATACCTGACATGTTACAAGAATTTATGATACATCTTTCTCAGCGTGGCTTTATCGTTCTTTTTACACCCGCAAAAATAAGTGCGCCCTTATCGTAGCACCTTTCGTTATAATCGTTTCTTTATTTACAAATAATATCTATTTATTAAAATTAATTAAATCCCATGTACATATTATTTTCAAAATTCTAAAATAAAATATAAAATATAAAAAATTCGTTCGCGGTAAGAAATTCTCGAATATTTCGCTTTCTTTGATAAGATAAAAAATTCGTGTATTTGTAATACTGTTCAATGGATGTTCCAGTAGAAGAAAAATAATATCTCTCCCGAATATTTGTTAGGGCAAATGCCAGAATAATTTCAATTCGCTTCTACCGTCCTCCCTCTTTCCGCGGTAATTTGTTCGTATCTATTTGAGTTTACTCGAGACTACAGTCGTAATTATTATTGCAGATAGAAAGCGTTGCAATTTCGGTCCAAGTATATTTACCCAGTGCTTGCGAAAGTACAGCTCGTCGCCTCGACGTACAAACACAATTAACAGCTGGAGCGTGTGCGCCGCGTCAAGCCTCGAATTTACTTTACGGAACCTGTTGCGGAGCTAGGATCCTTAAGTTTTGCCTTATTCTCGTTGGCATTTTCTCGGGATCGTGTCGCTTTTACCAATCCAATCGCTACGTTACACAGATAACAGCTGATGGCATCGTCGCGTACATCCTCGAAACTCGATCGAGAACTTCTCACAACTCGGTATACAATTAAGCGATCTTCCATTTCGTCGAGATAAAATTATAATATAATTTATAACAAATTGGGTCAGCATTGAATTTCAATAATTGATTCATAAGTTTTATCTTTGATTTTTTCCAATTTTTAACGCTTGAATAAAAAAAAAAATTTTGCGTTTTTTTTTATCGATTCAACCTTGCGTACGATCCAAATACGATGCCAAAATTTAACTCGATATCGATGCGGTGAATTAATTTTTGATGAATAAAAGCGAACATATATGTTCGATGTTTCGTTCATTTCGTATTTCAAATTTCACTGAATTTATCGTGCAAGAGACGAAAATATCACAAAACGTAATAGCATTATCAAACAGGAAATGCTGTTTTTCTTTCGCATTTGTAAATACTGTTGCGGTGCTGCTCGTCGAATCGCACGAGCTTGCATGCGCGCGTTGTTAATTTTGCAAAGTTATTTCCGCGAGCCGCGTACGACGCGGCAGCACGTTTTATTAATCATCTTTATGCCGGTGAAAAATTGAATTTTTAACGCTGCAATCCGACAAAAAGCGTACGCTGCGATCCTGAAATTTTCACATGCGCCTGAAAAAAAAACGACAATACATCCACATCTCTATCGCATTTTGTTTCAACTGGTGTAAAATTGATATATTTATTTCTGACTAATTGCTTGCGTTACTTTTCTTTTCAGCGGCGATTTTATTTTTACCGGCATAATAATTTTATTGGGAATTATATACGTTTTTTTATTCTGTATAAGCTACTTTATAAGCTACTTTATAACTAGGACAAACTCTTTTGAGCGATTTTCTTCAACATTCCTTTTGAAATAATGAATGTTACAAAACTGATAATGAAGCAGAGAAAAGATATCTATAAATATTTTGCTATTTAAGATAATTCTAATATAAGAAACACACGCAAGAGATTTAAGGGTTTTTATTTCGTATATATACTTATTGCTAGCATTTTTTGGGAACTCCGAATAATCAAAATTTCCGATAATCGGCGCACCTTAATTTATTCCCATTAATTGCGCGATTATTCCCGAGCTTTACAGCATGAAGCGTATTTTAATCGCATTTAGATATTAAACTCGCTAACTGTATTTCATCCAAGAGAATACTAAGAGCGGCGAAGAAATAATTAACGTCGGCTAACGAGACGCGATTAATGCCTGCGAGTATATACAAGTCTGCGCGTGCGTCGTCGCATCGAAGTCAGTACCGTCGCGTCTGCCGTCATTCGATTAGCGCTAAATACAATTTATCGGCAAACTTAAAAGGTGAAAACTGAAGATCGTAGCTTAGCGCGAACCGAGTTAAATGAGTTTGCGAAGTTGCGAATTAAATAACAACTTTAACGAGGTTGCAAGCTGCCTTAATGCCCAGCTAAACCCTGTGCTTATATTCTGCCTTTACCGTCTGTCTGTACTTTCGCGTTGACTGAAAAAACCAGAATACTCATTTTTCCTCTTCCCCCTTTCTCTCTGTCTTTCTGCAAAGAATATAGAATGAACATTTGCAGTCAAAAGTAATGCGAGATGGAAAGCGACGAGGCGCGCGTCATCATAATCCTCTGTATTTTTTAATAACCGTTTGTCCACCGCATACGTATGAAATTTTATTTGTTTCTGTTGTTTTTTGCTTACAGTCTGTCATGGGATTCAGCAATTTGAAGAAATGCCACAATACACCGAAGTCAATCCTGGCCAAGACGCGAAGCTGGTGTGTCGAGTCCTCGGAAAGAGAGGCCAGTGTATTTGGCAGAAAGATCAAAAGGTATGTATTTGGATTTTATTTTTATTGAAAAAAAAACTAAGTAAATTTGGATTACGCGTAAGCGAGTTGTAGAAAAAGCAATGAATTTTTGAAATCGGAAAAAACGTCTTGCGTTGTCGAGCGTAAGTGCAAGACGAAATCGTTCTCCCGGAACGATCGGAAGTTTAGGATACAAGCACGACAACGGTAACCAGTTCGCCAGATGCGATTGCGAAAATTGAAAAACACAACATCCGGGTTCGGGAAGGAGGAGTGCAACTTGTGTGTGCCTCGGTACTGTAACTCGGAGCATTTCATTGGTTCCGTTTCGCTTCTCTAAGCCCGTGTGGCAATCGACTTTTCCTCGTTCGCCGCGTGTACGAGCGCGTAAACTTCTAGACAAGTTTGTCCTGGCCGGAAGTGGACGCTACATAGGATGCGCGACGATTCGTTCACTTGTCTGTGGAATCTAAAGAGGAAAGGAAACCTGGCCGCTTCAAACTTCCGTGAAACTCCATGACGTTGTGTTCGCCAACTAAGTTACCAAACTAGTTCTCACTCAGTCAGTGCAGATAAAATTCTCATCATATTGTTACTGTTGTTCATTTATTCTCATTTCAACGACAAGATCATAATTAATTTTCGTCAGTCGGATTAAAATATTAGAGGACGTAACTTTTTGTAGCAAACACATTTAGAAGCTCTCATTTCAAATTGTAGATTTACTTCAATTTTGCACTGAATTCTTCAGTTGAGGAAAAAGGCGAAACAGATTTTGATTTTATACATTGTGTTATGTCATTCACAGAGCATTCTCAATTATATTTACAATATTATTTAGGGATATTTTCTAAACTTACTTTTAATGTCTAATTTACTCTAAATAGTCTAAGAAATACGTAGCATTATAATATGAGAATTAACGCAATTTGTTCAAATTACGTAAATGTTCGAAATTTTTATTTTGTTATAACCGTAAGATTTATTCGTGTAACTCGAACCTATATATTTGCAGGATATAATATAGATTTAAATTTGCTACATATATCGTGTAAAAGTGTTTCTACCAGGCTATAAAACTCGGCTAATACGTGTAGCTTTCGCTATTTACAGATTTATAGGAATACATAGTTCACCGCGAGACGTCACAATCATAAAGTCACAAAAGGGTGATTTACGCGCGGTCCTTCGTTTGCTTGATCAGCCGGAATCTGGCGGTAACGCGTTTCCTCGTATGATAAATTTGAACGAGCGCGATAACGGACTCGATATTTCACTTGGCCGAAAACGCAAATATACGAAACGATGTCGAGCGCGCGCGATCGACGCTCTCCGGCGCGACGCGACGTGGCCGGCAAAAGTTAAAATTTTCAATTAAATCGACACGAGCAGCGGCGTCAAAACAGCGTTTCCGTCGTTGAATCGTGAACGATTTCGAAAACCGGTTTTCCGTGTTCCTAGCGCACAGTCGGTTCTCCATCGCGTTCCGTGGCTCCCTGAATTATTACAGCGGCGATTTGTACACCAGCTACTATGTACATACATAGTACGTATATATATATATAGTTATATAGGGCCATCCCATAGTCGCGCGTAATATAGAATAATACCTGCTTTACGAGCCGCCATGTATCCATGTTAGCGATCGCGTAAATCCGCGATACATCTTCAGAAGGCGGCCGACTCGTATCGATATAAAGCCTTCGTTCGCACATCTTCTCTTCTCTCTCTCTCTTTCTCTCCCTTTCCCTATAAATTCGTGTGAACATATAGGGATGAATCTTTTCGATGCGCCCCACGTACCTCGACCTGAGATCGGATATATATATATCTGTACGTCTGGCGCTTGATTAGAGATGAGTCGAGCCGGAAACCGCGAAAACACGGAATGATTCGCAGCATTCTCGGAAGCTGGGTGTGATGGAAGAAAAAGCGAGGAGGAAAGCAGAACCCTTGATTGGCATGCTCGCAGCGTTTTATGCAAAGTCGAAGCCTCTCGAAATGGTTCACGAACTTCCGCGTGATATCTCCGAGTTTAATCGAGAGCAATCTCTTAGGCGGCTTTCAAACATTTCGCGACATGCATTTTTAATAGTTTAATAGGTTGCTTAATAGTTTAATAGTTTAGCTACATTTTTAGCATTTTTTCGTTACGTATAAATAAACAAATGAAAATCAGAGATACTTTCAGTTCAGTGCATCAGTAATTTCTTTTGAGTGAAATGTTGTTTCTAAAAGATGTGCAAACATTTTTTTATTTATGAACGCATTTCGCGTGATGCAGTTTTATTTTTTAATAGCTTAATAATTTATTTAATAATTTGTTTATATTTTAATATTTTTTATTACACTAAAGAAATTTGTTAATTTCATTAAAGCTTTCAACTATTAAATTACTATTTTGTTAATTGAAATACTAGTACTTGTGTCAAATATATGCTTTGTTAGATTTAATGTTATATTTAATTTAAATATTTTTATATGATTAATTAACAAAATTATATCTTTAGTTGAAAAGTTTAGTCAAGTTAACAAATTTTTTTTCAGTGTATGTATAAATATACAAAAGAAAAAAAGAGATATTTTATAGTAATTTCTTTTAAATTATAAAAAAATTTAATTATTTCTTTCACAAATGTAAATTTGTTTCTAAAAATCATGCGCAGACATTTTTTTACTCATCATAATAGTTACAAATTGCGAGACGATTATTAAATAAAACGAACAATCGTTCATTATTACCTTCTATTCGTCTCTGTAAAGCTTTCCTTATTTAATTAGCTCGTAATATCATTCGCGTCAGCCTTCACGAAACTTCTGGGTTCGTCGTTCTTAAACAGCTTGCATCTAATGTCATATATCTGGATTCACGCATGTGCTACACACGGGAGAGTGTCATGTCAGAGAACATTAATCCCCGACAAAGTTAAAAAGTTCCACGGAAAGCGGAATCTTGTTCGTCTCTTGCAAAGATATAGAGCAACGTGATCTTATTACGTTAAGAGTTTAAAGCTATATACATAGCTCTCTCTCTCTCTTTCTCTTTCCTCTCTTTCTTTTCTCTCGTAATCACCTCAAGCGTATTTTACTTACCCTATTTCCGAAGACGATCGTAAGTTTAGTGGGAACTTTATGCACGCGACATTTATGCATTGCAAAAAGTCGGGAAATAGAGCTTCGAAAAAAAAAGAAACCACGTCGACGAACTCTGAGAAGGGTGCTCTTTAAATTGAAATCATTACAACTTTAAAATCATTACAAGTTTTTCTAGTTTTCGAGGAAAAAGAAACGGGAGTCTCTCGCAGCCGGGAATGAAAAGTCATGCCAAAGCGAGAAAACGAGCGTGTAAGTCGAAGGGATGATTGTGATCGAAAGATGGTGAAAAACGAAGGGCGAAGATCGATGGTCGACGAGCAAAACGCGACATTTCACCGAGTGAAAGACGAGTACTTGAGTAAAGAACATTCTGCTGTTTAATTCTCGACGATTTCGCTCTTTCTCTTGCACGAGAGATCATGACACTTGCCCCAGAAAAATGCAGCATTAATTTATTTCAAAACTTTTTACATCAAATTGAGAAAAAACTCGTAGTTTGAAAAATTTAGTTTTATAGACAAAAGTGGTATAAAATACATATATGTATATATATATATATATATATATATATATATATATACGTATAAATTAATTTTGTTCTCGGGAACAATACGAGAATATTTTGCTGTTGAATTCTCGGCAATTTCGTTCTTTCTCTTGCACGAGAGTTCATGACATTTGCCTCAGAAAAATACGACAAATTTATTTAAAAATTTTTTCATATCAAATCGTAGCTGAAGAAAATATTGTCTTTTGACAATTTTAATTTTTATACAGAAAAGTCGTTTTATAAAATACATGTACAGATCAATTAACTTTGTTGTCTCGGGAACAATATAAGTATAGTGTGATGATATGAAAAACAATTCAGGAATTACGGTAATTAAAAGTGATCGTGTTCACGCGTTTGTGTGCATTACGTCGCATTTCATTTTATTGTTATCGATTACTGCAGATATTTATTGCAATGATCACCAGAGTGTGAATAATATGTATTTGTGTACGTATAAATGCATATCGCTTTTGTAATTATTACAGAGAACACTCGATCGGAGAATCGTTCTTGCGTATGATTTAATTAATCGAGAATAAAAACGCATGATAGTGATGACAGAACAATATGTATTAATAGTGATTAAATTCGAGTCAAAGATAGTCTATGTAAATGAGGATCTATTCGAGTGCGTTTCGTATTATTATTTATTATCAAAAATATCAATGCAAATAATTATTTTGTGAATTGTAGATTGTTACTTCCAACTGCTGCCAACTGTAGATTCTGTGTAAAGTAAATATATTTCGTATTATATGCGTGTAAAGTAAATTATATTTGAAACACATATGTATACCTTCAAATTAATACAACATTCTCTGAAGGGAAAACGATAAAGAACTGATTTAATCACCAGTAATTTTTAATCGCTCCTTTTCTCTCATCCCGATTGTCATTATTTTTAATCTCTGTAAATCTTGTTTTTAAATTTTTTATTAGCAGAATTTAAATGCGACTCGTTATAATGCCAATTATCGATTTCGACGTAAGATATTATTGTCTCTTGAACGCTGGCCAAGAGAGGACACGTGTCGCATTTGTGTATTAATAATGGAACCACGTGGTGCAAAGAAAGCCAGAGGGGATCGTCGCGTCGTTATCGTCGGCTTTCACGGGCTCGAGGGCCAAACAAAAGAGGGAGTATATCGAGCTCAGGGCGAAGTGGACGGATAAGAGGCGCCGAAGTGGCTTTGGATATTTATCATTGCGCATCTTTCCGCGCGATGCGGTTCATTGTGATCGCGGCCTGATCGTGCCTTCTCTCATTCCCTAGAAAACGACCCCGCCTATGGCTAAATATTCTTGAAGAGCCGCACTATACCGGGTATTGTATACTTACGTATACACCGCAGCAGCTGCGGTATATAGAGTC